ATGACCTCCGACCCCGTGCTGAAGCAGGTGCTGCAGGAACAGGTCAAGAAGAACGTCCCTCCCGCGCAGACCCAGCCGGCGACCACGGCGGCAGAGGCAGTGCGCAGGGCAGAAGGAGTCTGGAAGCAGGCCTCCTTACAGTTCGAGCAGGCCTCGGCGCAGGTGCAGAGATGCCGAGACAGTCTCGACAAAGCCAAGGCTCGAGAGGCTGAGGCGATCAGGGCCCTAGCCACGGCAGAGCTCAGCAAGAAGGTCGCCGCCAAGGCCATGGCCCGCGAGGCGGGCGTGGCCGAGTGCGCCAGTTCTTCCCCGCCGTCGGGCAGCAGCGGCTCCACTTTCATCGACCTGCGGTGGGACGCGGCCTTCTTTGCGGACTTGGACTCGCTCGAGTGCACGGAGGGCGAACGCCAGAAGCTCAAGCAGTTCGAGTCAGACTTGCAAGCGGCCAAGTCCAATTTCTCGGCCAAGGCAGATGAGATCAATCAGTGGAAGGCTTCCGTCACCGAGATCAAGCAGAAGATCGAGGAGCGGATGCAGAAGAAGAGGAAGGTTGGTGCGGAGACGGCTGCTGCGAGCGATGCTCCCTCGCCGCCCCCAGCAGCACCGTGTTCAGCGAGCCCGTCCCGGGAGGAGTGGGGCGCATCCGCAGGGCGCGCGAGGCTGGCGCAGCCGCCGCGGCGCAGGCAGCCAACGCCCCCATGGGCGAGCCGGCGCCTGCCGCAGGCGCTGCGGGGGCCGCGGGCCAGTGACCCCGCGGGTGGAAGGCTGGAGGCCCAGCTGCCCCTCCAGCCCAGCCGCCAGCGGGGCCGCAGGGGTCAGCGGCGCAGTCTCAGGCGGCGGCTGCCGCTGTGCCCGACGAGGAGGATGAGCAGGAGTGCAGGATGTTCTTCGCGAGTGTCACCGTCCTTGGCAAGAAGTCCTGGGCTTGCCTCAACAGCAGTGAGGTCAAGAACCAGCATCAGTATATGGGGGTTGTTGAGTCGCATGCGCTGGGGAGCGGGCCCACTCGCAGCGAGTGGGCGCGCAAAGTACCGGCGGCCAAGTGGCGCTACCTTGACAGCGGCACGAGGGGCACGGGCAAGGGGAAGTCCGCGTCCGCTCGCGAGAGGGCCACGGAAGGCGGGGAGATCTTCCTGGCCAGGAACTACAGACGCGCCCAGCGCTTCTGCAAGAAGGCGCGCGACCTGCCAGCCTATGTACTGTGCCGAGGGGAGCGACTCGTTCGACGGCTTTTTGCCCGTGCTGGTCCACCAGAAAGGGTTTTCGATCGTGGTGGTGCTCTTCTACGGGCACCTGTCCATCGGTTTCACCATGGGTAACCTCCTGAGGTTTGGCAAGGTCGGTGCTTTCGTGAGGAACCTCCAGCTCCCGTGGTGCATCATAGGCGACTTCAACATCGACGTTGCTACCATGGCCAAGCCTCAGTTTCTGTTGAAGCTTGGTGGGCATATTTTGCGATCTTCTGTGGATTACATGTGCAGGGGAGGCTATGGGAATCCTCGCTTGGATTAATTCATCGCAGGTGCCGCCTGCGTGCCATGCATTAGAAGTGTCGAAGCCGTGTCGCACGTACCATGGAAGCCTCACTGCGGGTTGACCATTTCTTTGCAAGGCTCTGGTCAGCAATGAATGATGCGGAGGCTCATCTCTGCACCCCGCTTGCCCCGCGTGGAGAGGCCGACTGCGGGCCCCACGGCGGGCTCCAAGGCCAGCAAGGCTCGTACCATGCGCATCGCCCAGCGTGAGCTCGCTAGGTAGAAAAACATGTTGGTCTGCGATGAGTTGTACTGTGATGTCTTGAGGCGGCCTGCTGAGACAGGTAGTAGGGTGGACTTGCGAAGTGAGGGCGATTCGGGCACCCTCGGCGCGTCCGTGCCTGATCTCGGCGACGCCCAGCGCGAAGAGTTTGGTGGGTTTAGTTTCGAGGCCGAAGGGGAAGAGGACCCCTGGGCCCATGAATCCTGTTCTGTTTTCAGCCAGCGGTGCGGAACGGGAGCTCCGAGGCTGACTCGCCCTCCGTTCCCAGGCCTGGGGTCGGAGATTCCCCTCTGAGCCCCCCGTCGGACGATGGGGTTGTCTGCGGGGGGTCTGCGAGCGCGTCGCCAGCGAATTCGTCTGTTACTTCGTGCGCAGCATCGGCGGGGGGGAATAGGGCCCAACCCAGCGATGGTCCCGAGGTTGACCCCAGTGGAGCTGGTCCAAGCATTTCCCATTCCGCTGCTTCTGCTGCTGCCTCTCCGTCATTCCCCACCCCTTCTGCTACCTGGTCCGTCGCCTCGGCTCAAGTCGGCCGGCATAGGCCCGAACGCGCCCCCAACGAAGTCTTGCCACCAGTACTTCAGTCTCTTGCCTATCAGATCGGGCAGCAGCACATCCCCGATCAGCAATCGGCACGGAGTTTGGATTGAGTCAGTGGAGCGAGCGTTTGCGTTGCACCACGAGCAGGATCCCCCTCGGCAGTTGCGTGCACGAGGATTTCAGCTTGTCGTGGCCCCTGCTCATCAGGCAAGGCAGCGCATCTACGTGAGCAGCCGCTGCACGACAGAGTGGCCAGCTGGTGGGCCAGCGCTCACTCCGTCATCCAGAAGCTCCTCAGGCATCGGCGTCGCAAGAACGGGCTTGTTCAGACTCAGCATCTCCGCGCGGCAGCAGCACGGATTGGTGTTAGCGCCCCCGAGGGAGTGGGTGCAATCAAGTTGTGCAGTTTCGGTGTCTGGTCGGATTGGCAGCGCGATCTGTTGGCCTTGGAGCAAGTCACCACCGAGCGCCTCAAGTTTCTGGAAGCTTGGTCTTTTCGAGGCACTCGGGCGGCGGAGTCACGCGCTGCCTCGGCTTCCCTGAAGGAATTTCAGGAATGGATTGCCTCGTCGCCAGCGATCGGCTTTGTTCACAAGAATATGAAGGGCCCGCAGCCAGTCGCTGACGAACTGCACCTGGGCCAGCAATGTTTCGCCCACCCGATGGACGTTATTGATATCAAGGTGCAGAAGTATCACGTCGTGGCGTTCGGAATCGTTATCATACGAAATGGTCGAAGATATCTGCCATTTCATACGTGAGCATGCTGCCATCGACCAATTAGTGCCCATCGCTGTGAGCGAGCTGCGCGGCACCCTCTCCGGTATGAAGAGCAAAGCTGGCTTGGGGATAGATCAGATGCCCCGCGTTGATGTGCAGAGGCTCCCCGATGTTGCGCTCGAGTTGTGTCAGCTTTATCAGGCGATCGAAGATGGCCTATCATGGCCACGGCAAGTTCCGACAGTGATGGGCGGCCTTCTTGTGAAAAAGAACGGCGGATATCGTGTTGTAGGTACCCTTGTGATGTTATGCCGTAGTTGGTCCATGTGTCGGGAGCCTTTGATGAAACGGTGGGCAGTCGAGCAGGAACCAGCATGTGATGCCGCGGTTGCCACCAACAGTGCTTCGCGAGCAGCGTTCGCGCGCGCCCTCGATGATGAAGTGGCCAGCAAGATGGATCTCGCACGCGGGCGCCCGCTGGCAGATATCGAATCCTTTTTTACGACAGCATCGAGTTCGGACCCCTGCCAAGGGAGCCATCGAGCTCGGGTTCCCTCCCGCGGCGCTGTTCCTCGAGCTGCAGTGGTGCATGTGCCCGAGGACCCTCGCCCAGCTGGAGTCTTTCTCAGAGCTTCTTCCACCGGCGAGGTCGGTGGTGCAGGGTTTGCGCAATGGCGCGCGCTTTGCGAGGTGTATGACTTATTGGGTGGTTCAGCAGTTATGCATTGTTTGCCCCACGTTATCCGAGCGCCTCTGGATTGACGACCTGTCCCAGAGGGTTGTGGGCCCGAGGCGGCACGCGCGGGCCACCCGATGCAAGGGCATAGCGGCGACGGCGCGTTTTCTCAAGGAGATGCAGCTGAGCCTCTCTCCGAAGAGTGTCGTCACGTGCTCGCATCCGCAGGGCGCCCATTTCGTTGTGAAGGCTCTCCGTAGGAAGTCGGCGCGCATCAAGGCCGCCCTGCAGACCGCACACCTGGGCGTGGACCTCGGGGGCGGCAAGAGGCAGTCGAGGGAGACTGCGCGCAAGAGGGTCGCGAAGGGTGACACTCAGCGCGACAAGCTGCGGCGCTTTGCCCGTGCGTCGCGGCGCTTCGCCACCGCGGTGAAGTTCCAGCGGGCGGGCCCGCAGGCGGCCGCCACCTGCGGGCACCAGGTGCACGGTGCCCACGGCAGCGGCGCGGTGATCCAGCGGCGCCGCCCAGCGGCCGCAGCGGGCCCCCATGGGAAGAGGGCGTTGCAAGACAACGCTGCTTGCCCTGCGCCTGCAGGGCGGCGATCCAGGACTGGCTCTCCCCAAGCAGCGCCTGGCGCAATGGTTCCAAGTATGGCTGTTGGAACCTCGAGTCAGAGCTGGACCCATCCGCGCCTGGCCGCGGATCGCCGAGCAGTTCAGCAGGCTGGCCGAGGTGGACCGAGCTCGCCGCGTCCGCGGCCCAGTGTCTGCGGTCATCGCGTATCTGTTGCATGCTGAGTGGAATCCGATTTCGGCGACTGAGTGGGACACGTCGAGTGACATCTCTCCGGATCGGCGCGGCTGGAGTTTCAGCGGTACCGATTTCTGTGCGATGGACCAAGCCGCCCCGCTCATCTCGGAGTTTGTGGATTCGCTGGCGAGCAGGCAGTGGCGCGAGGCGGCGCACATCAGCCAGAGGAAGTTTCTGGCAGACTTGCAGCACGTTCACCGCGGTCGCCAGCTCGCCGAGCTGATGGTGGCCATCGCGGCGGGCGGGTCCCGGCCCAACCAGAAGCGTTTCGGGGCGGGTCTCCGCAAGGACAGCCAGTGCGACAGGTGCGGGCTGCACGGTAAGACGGCCCTCCATCGCGTTTGGCGCAGCAGTTGCAACAGCAGCAGAAAGGCAGCCGCGGACTCCAACGACATTGTGCCCATGGCGGTCGCGGAGTCCGAGGCTTTCCCATGTTTCTGGCTCAGAGGCCTCATTCCGTCGGCGTGGACAAGAGTGACTCCGCCGACAGCGGTGGAGCAGTGGCAGACTGGGTGCATGAACAGTGAAGTCGTGGCTGGTTGTCTAGGGCGAGGTGCGGAGGATGCCCCGCTGCTCGTGTTCGGCGACGCGTCGGGCGGGCAAGACACGCACGACCCTCGCTTGCGCCGAGTCGGCATCGCAGTCGCGGTCATCGATTCCGTTTCCCCGTTCCAACTGGGCCCACATGTGCTGGGACCTCTGCCAGGGCCTGTTCAGACGGTGCCGCGAGGTGAGATCGCGGCGCTC